ACTGTCTTGTCATTATCCCTCTATCCTTATTTGCTGTTTCCTCTCTTTTCTGTCAAAACTTATAAAATTACTATTACAAGAAATGTTAAATACATTTAATTAAAATTGCAGTGTTACAACTAAAGAAATTTGGCCAAAATGCCATTTTCTAGCAGTCAGGAGCCTTCTTCTGTATCACATAATTTTGAACTAAACTAAGATCCAGGAGCCATATTCTGCCTCAGTGTTCTCATGCCATCAGTGAAGGAGACTGGTTGTCTCCTCCTGGTTGCCTCCTGAAGTTGGAGGACAGCAGGACATTACGGGGAGGAGGTTTTGCTCCACTCAGTCCCATCTCAACTCTGATTGAGGTCAACAACAACTGTATGGCAGAAGGCAGGGAGTCAACTCTGAGAGCTGCAGAACAACCCTAGCCCAAATACGTTCCAAATGCACTACACTCCAAAAACACAAAGGCTTTCTAAGAGAAAGAAGAGAGACTTGAAGAATAATGGAGAAGCCAGCCACTGTGAGAAGAGCTAAAGAATGGAGAAGCTTTTTCCATAATTATTTTTATTGTTCTCTATGATATTTTCTCTTTGAGAACAAGTATTTTGCCCTTTTAAACTTCTAGCACATGGCTACTTTGATTGAATAGAGTGTTACGTATGAACCACGAGGCTGTATTCATGTTTTAAACCAGTACAGGTTATGATTTTTGCTTTGGAGAGTTAGCAGATGTGATACAGTCATGACAGAATGAGGTTACTGCAGAAATGACTCATTGTTGAATAATCAAGTGTTTACTCCACCAAAACTGCATGTAACTGGATTGCCACAGTTTTTCTGCTTTATTGTAAGATGTAGCTTTTAAATGTCAGTGCATCAGGAAGAAAGGTAAACTCCTTGGGTGGCTCAGATCTCTTTTTATGCATGTGTTTAAAGGCAGACAGCCTTCTGGTTCTCAATGGAGAAAACAAGCTACTGAGTACATCAATGGAAACATAACGTTAATGAAATAAGAAAGGGAAATTAGCTGAAGAGGAAAACAAAAATTCTTGAAGTGCACTAGAGAAGTGTTTCTGAAAGAGCCCAGATGAAGAAAGAACAACTGAAGTAAGGTTCTAGTTTGACTGTTTCATACATCCCAATCTAGTATCCCTCCTGAAAATAGTGTCACCATCTGAGAAACCTTCAGCCAATCATTTCTCTCGATACAATTCATTGTTTTCAAACAACATTCTTCAGCACTTTTGGTTTTGCTGTTAAAGAAGGTAATTTGAGGGTGCTTATGCTTTCTCTTGCATGAAGAAACGTGCTCAAATGTGTCTTGTCTAGCAAGAGGGACCTAAGTCAGGTGAGAGGCTGGAAGAGCATCTCACTCTTCTGACTGCACAGAGGGCCCAAAGGTTATATCTCTTACAGGTTTCTGACTGCAGAGAGGGCCCAAAGGTTATATCTCTTACAGGTCTAAAGTTCAGATGAAGACGTAAATCCAGACCAAAGAGACTTTGGTCTCTTTGAGGCCTTTCTCCAATACTCACTGTGTACATTGGGAGTGAGCCCAGTGCCTTATATGGCTACTGTTTTAGCCCTTTTCCTTGTTTAAAGGGCAGGAAAAGCAGGGTTGAGATCTAAATCCTGGATCATACCCAAATACGCTAGTTTCTTTGGAAAGGTCTGGCACCAACATGTGCAATTGAGGTGCTGTCATAAAAAAATAATAGATTATACATACTCCCACTGGGTGGATAACCTGCCATGGAATAGAGAAAAGCTCACTCTGTAAAAGCATGACAGAGAGTTTGAGTAACATCTGAGCTTCTAAAAGTTCCTGAAATTTGAGTCTCCCATGGTAGGTGCACTTCCGAGTAGCAGACATCACCATTTTACGGTTGTGCTCTCTAACACGTATGTCAAGTCATGAACTTGCTCTTAAGAGCTAAAATTCATTGTATTCAGACAAGAAGTACCTCAACTGTTCAAGTTAGTTATGTGAAGCCCTGTCAGAGGAGCAGTGATAGAAATGAGACACAGAAGAATTTCAAAAGCTCTTGCTACCCATACAAAAACATAGAAGATTGTGGCTGTTCTAATTAATTCTTTGCACAGTTAATACTGTCCTGTTCTTCTGTGATTGTGGGTGTTCAAGTCACTTATTGCAGATCACTATTTAAAAAGAAAAAAGATTGAACTGTTCCTGGGGCAGAACCAGTTGCAGGTCCATGCAGTTGCACCAGTTGCAGGTTCCTGCAGAACCTCATGCAGGTCCAATAGAATTCAAGTGCAAGCTTTAAAAATCAAACTGACTACATTTCTAAATCACTTCTTGTCCTACAGAACCTAGGTTACATCAGAACCTTTATCAGATTCTCCCCTCCTCCTTCTAATAATATTGGATTATGTTGGACTATGTTGGATTGACCGGGCTGTTACATAATATCAAGGGAAAACAGGTCAAGTGCCCTGTTTGGGCTTCAATGCTCCTTGCTCCTGCAAATTCTGTGTACCAATTTTTTAGGTTTAAAGCCACATTTATATTCATAGAACCATAGAATGGTTAGAGTTAGAAGAGACTTTAAAGATCATCTCGTTCCAACCACCCTGCCATGGGCAGGGACACCTCCCACTAGACCAGGTTGCTCAAAGTCTCATCCAGCCTGGCCTTGAACACTTCTAGGGATGGGGCATTCACAGCTTCTCTGGGAAACCTGGGCCAGTGTCTCACCACCCTCACTGTAAAGAATTTCTTTCTAGTATCTAATCTAAATCTCCCCTCTTTCAGTTTAGAACCGTTACCCCTCGTCCTATTGCTACATTCCCTGATCAAAGAGTCCCTCCCTCACCAATTGCAGGGTGAGCCTAATTAGAAGAAAGAATGTGTAATGCCCAAGCAGGACCTTATTAGCCTGTGGATAGTGGATGCAAATAACACTTCTTCAACCTCAGAAGCTGATGTGCACTCACTGGGAATCCAAACAGCAGTTGCAGTACAAGCACAGACCAGCTCCTAACCATTCCGTTTCAGCTCTGCTGTTTCCGAATGGCATATCATGCTAGCATCCTAGCTGTACAGCTGTAGCCCAGAAATCAGAGGAAGAGTAAGCGCTTCTTATAAAGACAGAATATGCAAGTTTCATGCAATATCTAACTCTGGATAAAACTATGAAAATCCTTGCTTCCAGCCAAAGAAGTCTTCGGTTCAGTTCCCCAGTTCCCAAGATGGCAGTCAGAAAGCATTCAGCTTTGCAGTTCCCTGAGAGTTCGCAGAGAAGTGGGTACAAGGAAGCCTTTTGTGCCTTTCTACCATCCTAAGCCTAGGCAGCAGTTAGAGATGAAGAGCTGTAGTTAAAATTCTACTCAGTAATTGAAATTCTAATCAGTGCTGGCTAAACAAGAATGAGTTAACCTTTTCATGGGAAATTTACAAGAAGGCAGTTGTCACTGTGCACAGACTTTTGAATTGTAGAGGCAGTGAGTGAAAAGCAATCAATTCTGGCTTCAACACAAATAAGATCTCCAACTGTGTTTATATAGATTGTCCTCTGTACCGGTCTACGTATACATGATGGTGTTGCACAATCAGTGACCCCGAACAGTTCTATGTTACAGTATTCTTCTTGCAGAAGAATTAACCCTCTGCAGGAGCAGTTTGATGCTGGGTCTGTACGCCAGGGAAGGACATACTTGTTCATGCTTCCTGGTCTGAATTAGAAATGTTACGTGGCTTATCTTCATGACTGCAACGAACCAGCACAGCACAACTAGCAAACGTTGAGCATTCAAGAGCACACTATATGGAAACAGTTTAAAAGAGTTAAACACATTAATTTAGCATATTTCATTAGCACACAGGAGGAAATTGTCTCTTCACAAACATTTTACAACACACTAGAGGCTAGGTTTTGTGACTGAAGTCTTCCTTGCAAATTTGCACCAACACTTAGCAGTCAACCCCATTAGTTACTGTTTTGAGGGAGAATGAGTACACATTCTACAACCAGCAGTTTCTCTTCTCCACTCTCCCCTAAAGCTCCCACTTTGGATATTAACTTGCTTGAGATACATTAGCTAGGAGGGTGTAAACTTTGCATCCTTATAGGAGTTTCATTACAGTTTCATTTGGAAACTTTCCGTCTTTGTAGCTACAGGATTCAAACTCTTTGATGTGTATTTGCAGCTTTATCAACTGTCACAGCTTTATCAACTCCTCACAGGAGAAGGCACCTTCTACATTAAGGAAAGGATGTGTATCAGCATATAACCTTACTGATTGTACCATCTCTAGTGAAAGCCATCTTCATCTCATGAATCCTTTCAGCATTCCCATGAAGAAGCCCTGTGAGGATCAAGCCATTCTCAATATGGGTATGGGTGGGAGGGTCTCAGTCTTAGGAGGTAACCGTTTCATATCAGCTAACCAAATATCTTAGTAGTTTAAAAAGAGCCCTGAAGTTGGACAGCTTATTCCTTTCCCAGCTCAAGTATACATAGCATTCAGTTGTGGCATCTCATGGAGTCAGGCCCTTAATGACAGCAGAGTTTTCTCTCTGGCCCATGAGGATTTTAGAATTGTTTATGTACTCACTCCACTGAAGGGCTGAAGTGAACAGGGCATACAAGGACATCCAGTAGCACATTAGTAACTTTCAAAGTTAAGTTTCATTAAGACTGTGGCCACCTACTACTTAATGATATGAAACAGTACATATGAATATGAAGTAATAAATATATAGGGGAAAAAATTGCAAATGGAACCTTTCAACTTATCATTGCTTATTCTCTCTGGAGAATTCTAATTAAGCCAAATTTGTATACAGATCCACTGCAACAAACTGGTCTGGGTCTCTGTTTTTTAATCTTAGACTGTGTCAAAAGAGATGCTCCACAGTGGGGATATTTACACAACTATTATCACCATTTCTATGCCCTAATTAAATTGTGTGTGTGGGGGGGGAATTCTACAAATTTGTCCTAAAATTTCTGAAGGAGTTATTCTAAAAAAAAAAAACCTTTCAGAATTTCCTGGCTCAACATTTGATAATTTATTTTTAGTTTGGTTAACTATAATTAAACTATTTGGTGTTTAAAAAGGTAAATACAAGGAATTCAACACTTGGGAGAAATCCTACAACAACAACATACAAGAACTTTCTCCCAAACCACAATATATCATTCCTCTTAATTACATCAAATCTTAGCTTGAACTAGTTGAGTATGAAAAATATCTCAGCTGAGCACTTTACAAAGAAGACACTAGTTTCTGAACTACACACACACACAAATTAAATTTTTAAAAAACCTGTTAACACCACCACTTTGGAACAGTGTTTCTCTGCCTTCCTCTTCTCCAGGACAGCTTTGCTAGGCACCCTTCCCTTTCTTGGCCTCTTTCCACTGTTCCCTCTATTTACCCATACCTTTTTCTTCCTGATTTTTGAATGGCCCTCATAGCAGGGACCTTGTCTGCGAAAATGATGCAGAGGTGGTTTCCTACAATTGTGCTGAGAAGCCACAGACATCACCAAAGTTGTTCATGTGCTTTAAGTTAGGGCCATAACTATCAGGGATGGGCAAAGTCTGACAAACAGTGCCTTGGGTTTTTAGTAAGAGTCTGTATCTTGGTCATTTATGATGCTTGTATTACCATTGTTGCACTTCACTGGGCTTTTTCAAGACTCTGCTAGCTAATGCTTTTTTGGCTGTCATACAGTTTTCTTTCTGGCTTTCATATTGAGGGCACAGAACACCCCATAAGGAAAAATTTAAATCCATAAAAGATGATAATCCAGTCCTATTTATTTTCCACAGGCAATGTTTTTAGACTCGGATACTACAACCAATCACAACAAACTTCTGTGTTTGGTTGGCTAAGCTGAAATAAGATGTCTTACATGAATACTTGTAGGTACCACTCTCTTCAATGAGAATAGCAGATACTCACTACCCTGAAAAGTTACATCTGATAGTGGATTTTGCTATCCAGCTTTAGGTGCTCAGATTGAGAATTTTGGCCCTAATGCTTGCTGCAACTTTAGGTTTGTGTCCAATCCACCTGACAGTGTCCCTTTAAGCAGGAGCTTCCCCATAGCTGCATTCTCTGATTCTGAGATGTTCAGGATGCTTTTCATATACTACAGTTTCTGAAGGTCAGTGTGTACACATTTTAAGACACAGTGATAAGACAGTGTATGGAACTACTTGGCAGTATTTAGCTGGTACAGTTTCTTGTGGAAACAACAGAATTCCAAAACACACTACACTGAATGCTTATGGGTTATTACAAGCAAAAATCCCAAGACACCGGGAATTAAAAAGCGGAGTTCAACAAAGGAACACTGATATCGTTGGTTGATATGAACAAAGTTGTGCCAAGTCTTCCTTCTTCGCTTTTTCAAGTGGAGAAATAAACTGAGAAAGAAAGCAGAAGGAAAAAAAAAAAAAAAACATAAACCAACAGTTATTATAGAGTTACTGTTGTGCTTTATCTCACAGAAGCATGTGCCGGCAGAGGATGGCAAACACCTTTAGCACACCTTTGCTGAAAGACCATGACCTGTCTTGCACACAGTATGCCTTCCTGGCTGGAACGAGGCTGCTCCTCATTTGTCAGAAGGAGTTCGGAGGGGGAACTGGAGTGGGAAGCAGGGGAGACTCTGGCTCGTTAAAGACAGAAAGGGCAACGACTGACGGTGATGTTAGCCACCACCCCCAGCAACACCTCTACTCCCAAATGTTGTAACTCTTCCTTCAGCAGCGAGCCAGCCTGCTTTTCCAGGGCCCCACTACCAGGTTGGTAAGAAGCCTGTCTTGGGCCATTTCACCAGCCATGGTAGCTTGTTGCTGTGAGGAACTACCCAGTTTATCTGCGGCTATAGCCATCCCTGCCTGGAGGGTATGATCTTGTTCCTGTTCAGATCGGTGACTGGAGAACGCATGCAGGCCTTGTCTGTGACAGCATTTGGATGCTTGATGTCAACAGGATTCAAACATATGCTTGAGAGCTACAGTAAATAAATACATCACTGAGTTTAATACATGGGGTCCTTCCTGAAGCTGCAATCATTAGGCATTAGTACAGAAAGATCAAATAGACTGAAAAAATAATTTAGGATCGAGAGCTTAAATACACTTAAATCTCACCAAACTTGCACTAGATCTCACTATGGTGAGCCATGACCTGGGTTTGATGATGTGACACTCAAATTTGTGATTAAATACCCTAAAGCCAACCTAAGCCATGTCAAACCTGCTATTGCTGGTTCTAAACTTATCAGGTTAACATTTAAAACCAGGAGGGAAGCAATATTACTACTTATTTATAATTTCAGGCTTATCTTCTAAGGACAAATTATGAGCTATCTTGTCTGGTTTTTACTTTCTTGTTAAGATACACATAATGCTTGATGATGCACATATATGCAGCAATCGGTTCAATGGCTGCACATCTGCCTTCCCAGGTTGCTGCACTATATTGCAGAACAAAGGCCTGTCTTTCCCTTGAAGCCAGTTGCTTCAAGTACCCAGTTAATATAGTTAATTAATATCTAGCCACTTTACATCCTTGCCGTATCAGTGTTACGAAACCCTAGAATTATTCTGGGTCACTCTGGTGCCAGCATTCATAAGACTAATAAACTGCCACATGTATCTCAATCCATTTAGTTATGTTTACAGGTGATTCTGTAAGCCTTCTTTGCAGAAGCAACAGAGGAAAATGGAAACATGGTGAATACAAGGCATGTAATTTGAGAGCTGGGAATTAATTTACATCCATAGTCTAGCCTCCCGTGGATCTCTTCTGGGTTACTAGCTGGATTGTTTAACTCAAGAAATCTCCCTTTTAGGAGTTAATGCCATATTACAGTTATGTCACATAACGGCTGTTGCTAACACAGAGGTTACATAAATAAAATGTTCAGTTCCTGTCATTACAAGATCCCTGGCTCCCAACCAGCATGACTGCTATTATTCATTCATATGTTACCTTTCCTATAACAAATGTGTGGAATGAGATGAGCTTTCAAGACAAGAAATCATTAAGACTTTGGGCCATCTTTTAACAATATTTAGGTATTCAAGATGCAAAGGGATTTTCAGAAGCACCAGCATCTCAAATTCCTGCTGATTTGGTGGGAACTAGGCACCTACATGCTTTTAAAAATGCATTGGATGCCCATTTACCTTCACCCTCTTTTTATAGGCATGGGGAAATTCAAGCATTACTGTTCTCACTAGAAAACACTGGGACTGTGGCACAGGTTGTAATGAAAGGAAGGTATCTGAGATTTTATGTAAAAAAAAAAATTACATAAACATGAAAAGGGAGAGTTTAATCCTAGGGAAAGTTATGTAACATGCTAATGTAAAATATATTAACTGTCAACACATTCTACCTATACATGTGTCCAGAGAGTTTGCAGTAATTCTCACTATAACAGCATGACACTAGAAGGGGAATTCCACAAATCGGTTTAAATATTTTATCTCCTTTTTTTTAATGCTTTGATTTTTTTAAATATATCAGCACTTTGTACAGTCACAGAGCTATTGAGATAATAAACAAAAGAGAAAATGAATTACTCACTTATAATTATAATGAGAATGACTGCACATACTACACCAAGGATGATCATCATCTGTAAAAAGAAAGTTATGAGAGAAAAAAAAAAAAAGAGAAAGTCAGGTTTCCACATGAAAGACATTAAGCCCTGAGTTTTTTTGCTTTTACTTAGCGGCTCATTCTTTGCACTTCTAATTCTTGCAAAGACTCACTGCAACAGACTCGTTAAGGCCCCAAATTTATTATCAATTTTAGGAACAGCTGACCACCAGCAATGGACATAGCCTCTTGTCAAAGCTAGCAAGTTTTTTCTCATCATCTAAGATGCAGTGACCTACTTTGTCCACTTCCAGCAGTAAAGTAAAGAAAAAGTAAACTTCTGAAGTAAGTTTCCATTGGCTTGCAGGAGATTATTTCCCCCTCCCCTCCTTCCAGATTCTGTTTGTCATGGTAAATCAGGAAGGGAGAATAAGGAAAGCAAAATGAAGGTAGGTTTGAAGGTCTGGTGTAGTGCAGTGGTGACTGCAGTTAGCACGGGTGACATAACTCAAATTTTGTCTCTGTACCTCACAGGAGCCCTGCTTCTTGCACTGTCTGACAAAGCAACTGGGCAACAGTTCAAAGAAGACCAGAGGAGCTGCTCAGTTGAATTTCTAACCTTACCTATCCTAATCTATCCACTTATTTTTGGAGTGTTTGTGCATGTAGTTTACCCAGAATATTTTGCCTTGCTTTACATTTCGTAGCACTGTGGACTAAAGAGACAAGGCAGGCGACAGACTGGCAAGAGATAGGTGTGGGATTCTCCTTTGGGAACAGGGGGCTTTATTTGTGTGGACATGAATGATCAGCAGCAAAGATGGTATTGAAGAGAAATGGAAATGAAGCTGAACTTTTGGCCTAGTGTTGGTAGTGCAGAGTAGAAAAAAGCAAGGATATGGGGTCTTATATGAATAAGAGGAAGTGAAGTTTCTGAGTCCAGAGAACACAAATCCTGGAGGAGGTCTAAAAAAGCAGAGGAGAGTGAGGTTCCTTCCGCTCGTGGGGAAGGATGAGACTTTGAAGACAGCAGAGAAGAGAGCTGGTTGGTTAAAGTCCTGCTCTATCCTAATCTGCCCTTCTTAAAAAGATACTGTAATTTCCTCACTTCTCACAGCAGTTTGTGGAACCAAGTATTTTTTTGGTAGTTTACCATCCTAAATCCTTGATCCTAAAGATCAAGAGGCTGAATATCTCCCATAAGGAAAAAGCTTCTTTTCTTCCACCATTAGAATTTACTGCACCTGTTCAGGTTTTGTGGTTCACACAGGGAACTGACATGAATTAACATGGAATTCTCTCCTATCCCGATTTGCTAGCACTGACATCAAAATTTTTATCTACATTTTATGTACTGCAGAAATTATCTAGATAATAGGATCTGGTAAAGATCAAACTTATTATCCTGGAGCCTAGAGGGCAAGGCATCTCTTTCTCCCTTGACAAGAAGAGACCACTTAGAGATGCCATGCTGCAAGCAAAATCCAATTAAATGTCAGTGAAAGTAATGTCTGCAGTGAATTGATTCTTAACAAGAATTTGTATTCCTTACCTTGCAATTTTTCCACCAGTATTTTCTCTTCAGTTTGGCTGCACTGGTTTCAAACTGTGAGGCACCTGCTTGCAGTGCATCTGCCCGGTTGTCAAGCTCTGATAGCTTCTGGTCTCTTTCTAGCACCTTGTCCACATTCATTCTCATGATGTCTACCACCTGCAAAGACACAGTCTCACGTTAGATTCCACACACAGTAAAGCCGAAGGTCATCCGTATGTTGACACTCTGGAGTATCACATATCATACTGCAACCAGCCATTTGCCATTATGGTATGTGATGGCAGTTACCTGGGCAGTGTGTACTGCACATGTTTGCATACTGCAAACATGTCTATGAAAGGAGACACAGTGAGAACAAGATGAACATAGCTATGTTCAGATGCCCTTAAAGGTAAAAATAAAGGGACGTTATGGAATACCGTAATTAGTTTCATTAAAGCTTTTGATTTCTTTTAGCCTAAACTACTTTCAGCTACTTCACTATAGATACAAAAAACTGATGGGGACCCCTACCTCTACTACAATTTGGTTGACATTTGTCCAGTCATTACTAAGACCAAGCCATTATTTTCCTTATACATTTAATATAATTTCCTTATCGGAACTAGAGAAATTGGCTAGATAAAGCCCACTCTGAAGGGAACTGTATATATTTCCTGACCAAGGAATTTACTCATTCTGCAGATCTTGCACAGACAAGATGAATTCCCAGCCATAATTGCGAAGTGCTGCTTGAAAATGGAGGAGGAGAAAATTTTACCCGGCAAAATTCGGCCTGAAGTGTAGCAGGGACTCCTTGTCACCTCATTACACAGCCTCAGCAAAAAGAAGTGTGCACAGCCAGTACAGTAGGTAAGGCCCATTCATGCATATATTTTACATGTTGAGTTAGACAAAAATCCTCTTCTAGCAAGCCAATAACTCTAAATAGAAATCATGTACAAATTAATCACTAATGTGAATGTTAGACAGTATACCCATCTCAGTAAAGCTGTGTCCACTTACTCTAGCAGTGAATATGGTTGCTGGTCTGTTACTTCTCATACTCTGTAATAAAGATTTCTATGGGTTTTGTACTTAATATAATTTAAATATTACCTGCAAAAACCTAGAGTTATTTTAAAACCCCATGATTTAAATACAGTGAGAGGAAACTGGTAGTGAAAGAATCTTTGAAAGGACTGGCACAGGGTTAAATGGTGTTTCAAAACTCCAAAGGTTTTTTTCACTTGTCTACCAAATCTAGAACAAAATCAAATGTTTTGGTCAACCCAAATTTTCTTACTTGCTTTTCCAAACCAAAACTTTCCATCAAATTAAAAATACTTTTGTTTTCATTTCTCAGCTAGTATTTAGCTGAATTTTGTCTTGGTAAAATGTTTAGTAGGGAATATTTTACACTATTTGAAAATGCTGAAACAAAATACCGTAACTTTTCCTACCCATTCTCTCCATTTTTTGCCCAGAACTATTTATTGAATTTAACCTGACTAAAGTGGACACTTTTCCAGACAAGACTGCATTTTTTTCAAATAAATAAATGTTTGTCTAAACTAAAACCAAGATCTGAGCCTTTAAAAAATAAGCTCTAGGACGTCCAGAGAAATCATAGGGGAAAACCAAACACGGATAATAGCTGAAGTACTGTAACAGCACTGATATGGCATTAAAAATGTCAGTTGTTTTACCAAGACCAAAAATTTTCTCTTAAGCGAAACCGTGATTATGTTGCTGAGTTTTGGATTTGGGTTTGAAGTGCTGTGCAGAGCAGCACTTGGACTGGACTAGAGTAGTCAGAGGAGTGTAGTGCTGTGGTGTTTGGTGCCACCTACAGATTATTTTTCAACAAGACAAGAAAGAAAACCAGTTTTTCTTTCTAGTAGGAATCTAGTAAGGGATCTAGTAGGGATCTAGTAAGATCTAGTAGGGATCTAGTAGGGACGTCACAGGAACGCTTAACAGATCAGACCCTTCAGTGCTATAAATCAGTTTCACCCTAGTGACTTCACAGTACTGAAATCCCAGTGGCTTTTTTCTCCTTTGGCTATTCTTATACTGTGATTTCCCTATGGAACAAGGGCCTGCTGACCATGTGCTATCCACTCAAAACCCATACTGACCTCAGCCTCCCTCTCAAACTGGAATGAAAAAAACCATGGACCCTGATAATCACCTGCATAATCCTCAAATCCAAGAGCTACTCACTGTCCTCTCATACTGGTTAAGAGTTCCTGCCAAAATTACTCCATCGTGCTTCACAAGAAGACAAACTTGCATGGGCATGAGTGAAAAGTCTTAGAATACAGAGTATCTTAAACACAAAATGGAGGTTCACTAGCCTCGTTGGAGCCATCTCCGTTAATCTGCTTGAAGAACCCTAGGTATCTGACCTGCATCACTTGTTATAGACAATAATTAGTAATTATTTTTCATCTTCTAGGGACAATTACTTTTACTGCAACTCACATAAACAATTACAGCACCATCATGACGTAATATGTTCAGGACAAGAAGTTTATTTCATTATTCTGACAGAAGCTGAAATGTAATATTCCTTTCCCCACTGCAAGAGACACTCCGCTAACGTCAATGAAGTTAGTGTGATATGAAAGTCAGTAGTAATGAGAGAACCAGGCCTAGAAATTTCTGTAGACGTTTCTGCAGCCAGAGGATGTTCTTGTGATTAGCTCCAAGCATCAGCAGTGGGGAGGCTGGAAAGACCCTGTTTCAGATCTTCAGCAATGAAAAGACAAAGCTCAATTTGACAGATGTATTTAATTCATCTTAAGGAATGCATTTGAGTTGGATGTTGTGAGGTCTTCTCTACTATTTTTATATATACCTGGGGCTTTTGAAAATAGAGACCCTTATGCATGTAAATAGCTATTTTCAAATGTGTATTTTAGTGAATTGGCATTAAAGAATCACACAAGCCCTGGTCACTTCCCCATGGACAGTAAGCAATTATTTACTTAACTCTTTATAGGGGTTTAGCAAAACTCTGTATTTCATACCCAGCACACAAATCTGCACAACCCGTGTGCAAATACTGTACTGCTGGTACACTTGGGGACTACACCCACGAGCAGTGGTACACTCACTTATTCCTGTTATCACAGCAGTTAGATGGACACTGGTATTACAGCTGCAGTGGTGGGGTAGTCTGTGTACTACAATAATTTAAGGATTCATGCTGGAACAGGCACGTGGTCCTCCAAGACCAACAAGAGGAGTGGGGATTTGTTGAAGGTGGTATTATGACATCATGTGTAGGTGCCTCTATTTGGGGATAAATTGTGATGATTAATCGACAGAGCTCTGGTTAATGAATATGGCCTCAGCTGTACAATTCTCATGGCTTGAATCTATCTGTGAGAAGCTGGTGGCCTGTCCCTGTGAAACAGCCTGTGATATTAGTGTCTAACCTTCAGAAATGCAGGAACACATTAAAAGAGCTGGTTCTACTATGGCATTTCCTCCTAACCTGACTGATTGGGATGAATTCCTGAATTAGCACCAGTGCCCACATTTATTCTGGAGAAATGTTACTGGTACACAGATGTTCATACTCAGAATCTCTCTTGCACTATCTGCCTCTTCAATAAATGCCATCCTTTGGTAAACCTCATTTCCTACATCCACTGCCTTCAGACAAGCAAGAGCTCCTGGCTCATTAGGGAGGAAAGCATCTTAAAGAACAAAATAATAATCACATCAGCATGTATTTGAGCAACAAATCACCTAGTACTACTTACCTCATCCACCCGGGCTTGTGTCTGCTGCAGCCGTTTGTTGCTTGACACATTGGTTGCAGGAGGTGGCCCTGCAGCCCCAGCACCGGTGGGACCTTGGGTAGGAGCTGGAGCAGACCTAGATCAAAAGCAGAGAACACAAAAAGTGACTGAAACTGTCTTCACTTGTTGTTCCCTACCCCTTTTCCAGAACAAGTCAAAAGTACATATCTCTTAAAAGGAGTTTTCCATTGTCTCAGAGCCTACATTTTCCATTCCTGGATCACAACCTTAGTGTCCCATTCCCTCCCAAGCTGCAATTAGCTTTCATGCTATTTCTTGATAGGACCATATCAAACTCTTCCCCTCACTTGCTGCCTTTTGAAAAAGCAAGCTATTCAGATTATCTACTACAACTTAGGCCCAATGGCCAAAATGATCACAGGCCTGAGAAGCAGGGCAGAGCTTATATCCCACTAAGGAGACAGACTCTGCCACAGGTGTTTTGTGTTGATGCTATGGGAGCCAGGGCTGTGACCCTGCCTTCCTCCTCAATGTGCTGAATGATGCAGTCCCCAGCTCCCCAGTGTTTGGCTGGAAGCTAACCAGGTAAAGATAAACAAGACGAGAGGAGAAAGAAGTGGAAGAGGAAGAGTGCACCGAATTGCACAAAGCATAGTTACTCATCTCAGGCATTCAGCAATGCTTAACCACCCCACCAGTGGTCATCAAATCCCCCCCAACCAGAGCAGCTGGCCAGGCTTGAACACTTGGCATGGACCCTGGATGAATATTTGCAGCAATGCTGTGAACAGACCTCTGATCTCCTGTGCATCAGCTCTTTTCTTAAGCATCAAACACTGGGTTTCCCCAGCTTGCTTTAGAACAAAAGGCAAACCAAAAGTTCCTTAAAATCTGTCAACATATCTGGTCTGTCTCAGTACATGAACTTGTGCAGGCAAGTCACCCTGCTGGCCAGTCATTCTTCACACCTACACTTTACCCCGTGAGACCTTTTTCTTTTCAAGGGACCCCTGTCACTTCTTCCTGCAGAGAAATAAAACCCTTCCTAAAGCTGCAGAGGAAATCCCTAAGCATGTGAACTGAAAAATATCGCAAATCCCACTCATGCCCTACCAATGCCTTCCCACAGTGACAGACCGAGAGAACACAGTGTTTCTCTGTGAATCATTCCCTTTTACATCCTGGGGTCTGATTAATGCTGCTGGAATTATGGCCCCATTAATACACTGTCAAAGTGCCTTGGGACACTAAAGTTAGTTCCCCAAAGGTACCTTAAGCTGCAAAATTCAGTTTGACAGCATTGCCTGCGGGCTGAGATCCCTACAGATAACACTGATCCTCACAGACTCCCAGTGATGGAGCAGCTGTTTGCAGACCTGGAGCACTGCTGTTATCTTACACTTCTCTTTTTTTTAACTGTGGGTGAGAATGTCATTATCAAGCTTTAGTTGAAAGAAAAGAACTTGAGCTGTACACAAATTGCTCGTCCTTTGAGGACCTCACAGCCGCTATTAAAAACATAAAAGACCAGATGCTTCTGCCACCTGCAATGGAATTACTCTATTGAAGGTCCATGGGCCAGGATCCCAACAGGACTTATTCTGAGTTTGTGCTGTTGTCACAAAGGATCAAAATCTGACTATAATGTATATCAGACTCCAATATCACAAAACAAGATCTCCCTAGAGCACTGACAACCTCAGAGGGAGTTCCTGGTACAACAACAGTGCTAAAATTGAAATTGAGAAATTTCTTTGCAGTCAAGGAAGTAAATAGGCTTTTTCCCTATCAACACAAGCACAATTTTTCTGTGGTAACATTCTGTCACGCTGTTCACTACTACAACTCTTAACAGAGACCCCCTCTTGAGCTATGTATTGTTAGCAACCCAGACACTACAGAAGGAAAGTGCATGAGAAGCGTTTTTCCTGGCCATATATTTTCTCTAGGATGCATGACTTATAAATGCAGCAGTGTTCTTGGTCAAAGCTGTGTGATAACGCTGAAGTCCAGTGCTCTGCCATATACCTTTTCTGTCCGGTAATTTTCATCTTTTTTGCACCTCCCAAGCTGTCCTTAAAATGATTTGGCATAAAGTAGACACTTCCCAGTTTGTTCTCTTCCAGCATCCCTGCTGCCATCTAATTTGATTTCAACTGTATTTCCTGGGGCTTCTCTGCTCCCTGTGTAAGGGAGGAATGGATGGGAAAAATGGATGTTTTTACAGCTGCCCTGACCATCCAGCGGGAGTTACTGTAACTACCAAAGCGATGGTAATCTTTACGCTAAGGTACAGCAAGCTTGTAATTAACATATCCATCTTAATTAAATGCATAAAATCTAATACACGAGTAGCCAGAGCTGGGTGGTGCCTGCAGTGCAGAGCTACACTTTCCAAACCTTTTGTCTCCAGAGTTGAGCTCTCCTTACACAGTAAGAGCAGCTGCCTCGCTCTTGACTTCATGGGTCAGAGCAATGAGCTCTGCAAGCAGAGGAGTGCTCACCAGAAGAGACAGAGTGCCCGCTGCAGAGGGGACAGTGCAGGTTCCCAGACGGGCTCTAGGAAGGCAGTCCTTAAGCAAGTGGCTTTAATGCCACCAGCAGATCTAGCAGGTTAACATGGTACAAGGCCTCTCTTGACCTTAGGCAGCTTGTAATATATCCAAAACAGACAGAACAAGAAAAAAGATACCTGCATCACCTCTGCTCCTTCTGACCTGCCAAGGCACTTCAGAATGGGACAGAGGGATTCCCATGCTTCTGGCTCAGTCCTACCAATTTTTGAGCTCTGCAGAAACCATCCTGGCTGTGCAGCAGCAAAAGTCAGTACCTCTGAGCTAATGTGACTCCAGTCCCACAAGGCATCTGTTCAGAGTTTGTCTTTGAATGCAAGAAGGGAATTGAAGGCCTAAATCACTAGAAAGCACCAATATTCTCTGGGACATTTTAGTGGAAGAATGCTAGAATGAAAGTCCAGCCTACATTTACAAAATTATTCTATTATTGCCTCAGCACTGTGTCATATCAGCTTATAATTTCTCAGAAGCATTATTCAAAGAAATTTATGCAAAGCATTAGCACTATGTTAGAGAGGCTTTCTTTTGAAATACATGAAGCATCACAACTTTAAAGGCCAATTTCTCATGGCCTGGCATGATTTTTGGGAGGTACAAAAGAATGCAAAAAGCCATATAAAAGCTACATCATTGAGTCCTTAGCCATCAGACTAGTGTATTTTATTTTTTCTCTAGGAAAAGGAAAAAAGCTGCCATTGATGCTGAGAATCTTTACTCCCAAGGGCAGGTCAAATTAGTCTTGAAGGGGGGACAAAGCTCTATTATTGTTGGTACAAAAGAGTATAAATCCCTAGCAAATATTCTTATACGGCAACCACTCTGCAATGTCAGAGCACTGCGGTATGCTAAGGAGAGTGATGAGTACACATACTTCAGGACAACAATACTACATGCGTAAAGCCTCAGCAGTTAGGTTCTTTATATAACATTAGTTACATCCTCACCCCCACCATGCCAGGTTTATGCTTCAGTTAGTACATGAGCAATCTGGCTGATTGAAAGCAGGTGTTGGATCTGTGTATGTACGCAGCAACCTGTAGAGAAACATGTGGAAACCGTCCTAGTAATTCAGTAAAATGGTCTCAGCTGACTCAGGCATCCTCATTCTTCTGGTTACTTGCTGGGCCAGAAACTGGTAGGTCAAAATCGTGACTAAGAGATTTCTTGTCTTACCTGGTTATTTTGGAAGCAATTTACCACTTAGCTCTAACAGTTAAAGGGGGCTGTAACTCTAATTAAGACAGAATTGGAGATATGCAGTGGCTGAGGATGACTATGTATCTAACATTTTAGAAAGCTGCCTGACACATACTTCAGGTTTTGTTCATATGGGTGAGCTACATAGGAGGAATTTTTTATGTTAGTCAGGCTAGGGAAGGAGATGCACAATGTAAATACCAGGAGGATCCCAGACCACCACTGTGACTTTAGTACAGTTTACATTAGAACCCCAATAGTTGCTTTCAGCAACTTGTTTTATCCATCCAAGGTGCTTTTAAAGCCTCCAGCTATGGGACCTAATCCCTTCAAAGTCTTTATCCTAACAACACTGCAATAAGCCAAGGAAAAGCTATTATCCCCGCATATGGCTGGGAAACAGGTACAGGGAGATTAAGTGACTTGCTCAGTGGCACAGGAAGCCTGTGGCAAAGCAGTCCAGACCTCTTCTTTGCCATCCTTCTGCTCCCCTCTTCTTCAGCTACTGACTCCAAATCAAAGCTCACAACCTGTTTCTAACAGCAGGAATTATTTTCTACCCCTCAGACTTAAACAGTAAGAAATATACAGTTAAAGGTTACAGCACGAGGAAAGTGAGAATTACATCAGACATCTTTAGCTGGTATCAGCTGGCAAAGCTCAGGGGAGGGGGCAGTGAAAGTGCATCAATGCAGCAGAAGATTTGACTAATGATCCCTATAAAAAGTGAAATGAAGGAGGCAATTTTCTATGAATCCTATTTTGATTCCTCTTTCCTCAAACCCTTCCCTTGTTCAAATAAAACGTAAAATTGCACTGCCTCTCTTCCTCTTTATTTTTTTACTGTCCAGGTACCATATCTCTATAGTAAATATTTCCTGTTGTAACCAAACTTATGTATATTTAAGACACTATTCTTCCAATTGAACCCCTTCAAAGGGCATCTCCCCATTTGAGCTGGACTGCTGAAGTAGGGGTTGACAGTCTGTGGTTCCAACAGCATTTAAAAAAAACCAAACCAACCACCATCACAACCCCTGCCATTTATTTAGTTGTAAAATAAATCAGAACACTCCCATAGCTTTGCACTCCTGAGATTTAATTCTAAAACAATTATTAAAATTATCTACAGAGAAAAATTAGTGTCTATGGATGCCAGTGAAGACCCTGGGCCTGACAGTAACTGTAGAAACAAGCCACTCTCACATTGTCCCTGCTGCTGAGAGTGTTCATCTGTGAATTTAGATGCAACGGAAAGCTTTGAGGCAGGGAAGATCTCTAAGGAAATAAAGAAGCTCTGTAGCACTTGGGGTTTGCTGTTAGTTTTGAACTTGCCTTGTTT